TCAAGGTCCTATTATGTTTAATGTATGTACCAAATTTAAACAAAATCCGTCCATGCATAACTGAGATCCGGGTCCGGAATGGTGAAAATGTGCGATTTTGATGCATTTTCGGCCTTAAAATGGCCGCTATTCGGCTATCGTTAATGAGATCATGAAACAAATACACATACATATTTGTGACATGATGTACCTTGTGTGTGTGAAGTTTGAACTTGATCAATCCAGACATGTCTCGGATACGGATCCAGAACTGAATTCTTTAAAACAAAATGGCCGCCAGTCGGCCATTTCGAACCCGATCCAAAAAAAAAAATGACGTGCATCAAGGTCCTATTATGTTTAATGTATGTACCAAATTTGAACAAAATCCGTCCATGCATAACTGAGATCCGGGTCCGGAATGGTGAAAATGTGCGATTTTGATGCATTTTCGGCCTTAAAATGGCCGCTATTCGGCTATCGTTAATCGGATCATGAAAAAAATGCATGTGCATATGTCCCATATAAGGTGTGATGTATGAGTGAAGTTTGAACTTAATCGGTCCATGCATGTTCAAGATACAGGTGATCACGGACGCACGGACGCACGGACGCAGGGACGCACACAGGGCAAAACATAAGTCCCCGTTTTCGGACTGCGTCCGAACGGGGACTAACAAAGTGATTTACAGGAATCAGACAAACTGAGAACCCACTAATAGAATTTCCTACACAAAACTTACACTGGGGACATCAACAACAGAAGAATCTTCAGAATCCTCACCATCACCAACAATTAATTCGGGTGGTAATGGCGGACCATATATGGCAGTGTTTATTGGAAAATAATTTAATTCATCTGATGAATACCTGTAACAAAAAAATACCACATGATATGTTAATTTAACACATAAAAACTGCAAGTTTAGGTGATAGCAACACAATAATATGTTACTATCATTTTATGGCTAAGTTTAGTTCATTCAAAGATATGTATACATGTATCTGGGACAGGTACAATTGTCAATAATCGTTTACCAGGAGATAATTAATTTTTGTAACTGAAAATTTTGTTAAAGTGATTTCTGAGTGGATCTTCCTACTTGTGTTATTTCCAAACTTGAATCTAATTAAGGTAGTGAGAAGGGTTTGAATAAAGCATTCTCTGTCTGTTGTTTCAATCAGAACCAAAATTTAACGTATATGATTCGAAAGCATACATATAGAGGGACAAGTTCGCACAAATTGGACAGCCATTGTTTACATAAGTACCATGTGACAACAAAAATGGCGAACCTTGTAAAAATAACTAAATCCGTGATTGCGAGAGCACACTGCGGAATTTCCGGATGAAATTTATGTCATGCATGAGGTATGTAAATCTGTCGAAATGGACATAGTGCGAGTGGTTAGTGCTAGTAGCACTAATCCGAAAAAGTACTAGATCTAGTGCTAAAATGGCACTAGATCTAGTGCAAAAACGGCACTAGATCTAGTGCTAAAATGTACATAGTGCGAGTGGCATTGATATTGCGTTGTCAACGACGTCAAGACATCCCGTGATTCTCTGAAAATAAATTAATATTTACGTAAAATTGTTGTATCTTTCATTCATTGGAAATGTGCTACAGTGGGAAAATTGAGAATGTCATTGTCCACGTTTGTCGTAATACTAATAGACCTTTGGAACAACGCGATCGGCCGGGAAACTAGCTGAAACAGTGATACTGCAGGTCGAACTGCGCAATTTTTACAAATTGTGAATAGATATACTGTATGAAATGGTATTGTGGGGAAGTCCCGGGTCCCAG